CATAGTGACTCTGAACAACAGATTATAACTGTCCTTTGTCATCCTCATAGTCTGTGCCACAATTGAGCCCATTTTTGAAGTCTCTGTGTCAGTTCATCTCATTGCAGGACTTCCTTTTTTGTACTGATGAGGTTTTCATACATAATACCTTTTTCCAAGTAACAACAAGAAAACCTTTTTCTTTCTGGCAACATGCTCAAAGTTTAGAAGATGAAGTGTCACTATTGTTGCCTCTAGAGAGTACCTGGTTGTACTTCTTGCAAAGCAGATTTTTTTTAAATACATATTTTTTTTAAATTTTATTATTATTTTGTGTGTGTGTACTGTCAAATCGGATCTGACTGGTACAGGAGAATATTGCCCTTCCTTCTCCAGCAGAGCATCTGGTGGAAGATTTTTTGTTTTAATGCATTTTTAAAATGAAACTTAATTCATGTACATTCCTCCTCTCCTTCCACCCACCAAACTCTTCAACCCTGTGTTTTTCCCCCCTTCCTACCCTACCAGTCCCCTCCCTTTCCTTCGTTGTATATCCGTTCAGATCTCACTAGCTATCCTTCTGTTTTCACAATAATGGTCTTATGCAGTATTTATTCTTAAGTGCCTGAGGTAGCTCACTCAGTGTAATGCTCTCTAGCCTCTACTGTGTTGCATTGTATTTTTCAAAATCATTGCTCTTGAGTGCTGCATAGTATTCCATTATGTGACTGTACCACACTTTCTCAATCCAGTCATTTGTTGATGGACATTTGGGCCCTTTCAATGTTCTTGCTATTGTGAATAATGCTGCTATGAACTTCTGGGTACAAATCTTTGTTTGTATCTCAGTTCTGTTTTTCATAGGGTGTATTTCCCCGCAGTGGAATAGCTGGTTCTTATGGAATTTCTATGTTCAGCTTTTTGAGAATACACCAAACTGCTTTCAGAGTGGTTGTACTCCAAGACAGATTTTTTAAATCCTTTTTGCAGTTCTTAATGATGTGGGTGAAGCAAAAATTTTACCTGATGAAGGACCTTCATTTGCTGATGTGGCATGACTCAAGATGAGGAGAAACTCTTTGCAGCTCTCCACTAAGCAGTACATTCAGAATTCTCCTTAGAGGCAAGAATAGTGAGAGTTTATCTTACATACTTTGGGCCTGTTGTCAGGAGTAGGCAGTCTCTATAAAGAAGGATCTCACTCTTGGAAAAGTCGAGGGTCAGAAAAGAAGACCACCTTCAACTAGACGAAATGTTCATGGTGACTGTGGTGATGAGTTTAAGCACAGCTGAGTTTGTGAGAATGGCCAGAATCAGGCAAGATTTTGGTCTGTTGTACATAGAGTTGCTGTGAGTCACCTTTGTTCAATAGACCCTAGCAATGTGTACATATTTACATCATTCACCTAGATGTAGGTTCACTGTGAGTCGTCAACTTGATGGCACCGGAAACAATCACATATACCTCAGTGTGAGATGGCCCTCTCTGGCTCCAGCCCAGGCTTCTGTGACTCCAGGTCCCAATGTGGCTGAGTTGTATACAAGCTACATTTTCAATAATAGATAAAAAAATATTATTAAAAAAGTAAAAAGTTTTTCACTCCTGTTGGTGTAGCTGTAACAACAGCTTACCACATTTCATATTTGTTTTATAGTAGTTCTTATGCTGAATTAATTTTTCTTTAAATAGTGGACATTCTACAGTACATATCATTCAATGATTTTTGTCATTCAATTATTTTGTTTAATATCCTGACTTCTTTGCTTCTTGGTAGCATTTTCACCATAACTAGTTTGCTCTTCATGTAGGTTCCACTGTATAACTAAAAGTTTATGATATTGTACTAACATGAAAAAAATATACAAGATGGGTGAGATTTCTTTTTACTGCAAAATGTAATATTTTGGATTGATGCAGAAATGATTAGCATCAGAAGATGCTTTCTAATATTTGATATGTTTGATAAAGGTCTAATCTCTAAGAGATATAGAAAACAAATAATGCAACAACCAAAAGACAAAAAAATTAAATTTGAAAGTAAATGAAAGACGGGAACAAACTTTTTTCATATGAAATATTTGAAAAAATTCCACATACAAGTGGACCAACACAGTTCAAACTTGTTTTGTTCAAGAGTTAACTGTATATTCTTTATCTTTTTATAATGAAATTGTATAGTATTTATCCTTTTTGTGATTATCCTAATTCACTTAGAATAATGTATAGTTTAATTCAGATATTTTAAAATTTTTTTATGGTTGCATAGCATCCCATGGTATGTTTATACCATATTTTATCTGTTCATCTATTGATGGGCGATTAAGTTGTTTTTATCTTTTTGCATTTGTGAATAATGTGGCATTGAACATAAGTATGCATGTCTGATTTTGTTTTTAGTGTTAGAATTCTAGGATATGTACCTACCTGTGGGACTATAGGATCATAAGATAGTTCTGTTTCTAGTTTTTTAGATATTGTCTTACCATTTTCTACTGTATCGTTTTCATTATATCATTTTTTAATCCTACCAGTGGTGAGTAAGAATACCAGTCTCCCCACATTCTTCCTAGCATTTGTTAGTTTTAGATTTCTTTTTTTGCAGTCAATGCCTTTTTTGCAGAAGTGAGATGGTATCTTACAATTTTAATTTACATCTCGAATGGCTAGTGATGGTGAGCATCTTTTCATTTACCTTTTGGCTGGCTCCCTCAGTGTCTTTTATGAAATGTCTCTTTGCTCATTTTTAAATTGGAATTTTTATCTTTTGGTTGTTGAGTTACTTAAGTTTCCTGTATATTTTAGCGACTAGACCCTTTTCAAATACGCTATTGCCAAAGACTTCCCCCCAGCCCCGAGTCTTTAGATTTTCTTGTTATTGTTTTGAAGTCTTTTGATAAGTGTTTAATTTTTAGGTAACCTCATTTATCTAATTTGATTTACCTGTTTGTGTATTAATAGTTGTTTGTTATATTTTTTAAAATTGGGCCTACATTTCTTAACTTTATTGTGATTTGAGTGAAAATTTACAGAGCAAGTTAGTTTTCCACTGAATACCCATTTTGTTTTGTAATATTGATTAGAATTATTTTTTTTTTAATTTTATTAGAATTCTTATGTCATGACAGCACTTCCTCCAAGTTTCCCATTTCCAACCAACCTTTCCTAGTCTTTTCTGGCTCCCAGCCTTTATTCATATGCAGTGCTCCCCTTTTTGTTTTTTAATGGCTGCTTGTTCTAATGATTGTATTCCTTCTAATGTTATTAATCACTTTATAAGACTGTCTGTTACTTGTTTGCAGGCTGAGTTATGGAGGTGTTCGACTCCAGGCTTGAACGATAACTGAGTGCTCTAGTTTCAGCCCATAATGTGCTCCTATGTTTTCTTCTAAGAGCTTTAAAATTTTAGCATTGACATTTATGTCTTTGAATTATTTTTAGTTATTGTTTATGGTGTAAGGTATGTGTCCTGTTTAATTTTTTTCCATTTCGTTACCCAGTGTTTGTTGTTGTTTTTTTAAAAAAATTACTTTCTTAATCCTAATGAATGTTTACAGAGATTTTGGATTTCTATTCATTCATTGTTGCATTTTTCTCCCTGCCCTCCCCTCCCCCTCAGTTTGCTCTTCTCTTTGAATAGTAGAAGAAAAATTCTTTCATTGGTATACAATCCCCTCTTCCCACCCAGTTTTACCAATATCATTTATTAAAGAGATTGTTTCTTCCTCCTCATTGAATTAATTTTCATGCCTTGTCAAAAGATACTTCCCAGTACTATTTATTTTTTTATTATTAAATTTTATTCGTTTTAATGAACATTTACAGAGATTTTGGGTTTTCATTCATTCATTGTTGCACTGTTTTCTCTACCCTCCCCTCAGTTCGTTCTTCTTCCCCCCCTTGAATGTCTGTTTTAATTGTCCAATTGCCACAGTGCTTGTCAAAGCCAGTTCTGATTAATCTCCTTTGTCAGTGTGTCATTTGTCATTCCCTTTCACTCCTCCCTGAGAGAGACTTCACCCTAATTCATAAGGAAAAGGGGATGGCATATTCTTTTAGCTACTTCTTGCTGAAAAGGGACAGTCGGTTTCAGGGTGAAGATCTTCTCTCACTACTCTAAAGGGCCCCTTTGGCAGTAGGAAACACATAGACTATTATGGAGATTGATTTTGGAATT